GTTTCCATCTAGACAGACAGCCCTTTATAATGTTTCTTTTACTTGAATCATTGATGATCCTAACGTTCTAAGAGATGATTTTTTCAATCATTTAGTGATAGATCCCAGTCAGAAGCCAAAGTATGATTGATAATTATTCTACTTGAGGTGAGAATACAACCATTGATTTGCTGAATAAATTTTCCTTCACCTGCTATTCTCATGTTTTTTTCACCTACTTGTTCTGCTTCAGTTACGTGTCTCTGTGATCCACTTTAGACTACATATCTCGGGTTCCTTCTCGGAACTCTTTGTGATTTTCTTACTCTAACATTATTTTCCCTTTTTACAGGAACCTTGTCTTCAAGGTTCAAATAGTTTCCTATGTGGCATCTTCCTTGTTGCTTTGACTCAGTTTTTTTTTTTTTTTTTTTCCCAGAACCACATCCATGGCTTTGATTCTCCACCCATATTTCCTAGAGAAAAAAAAAAATAAAAATACCACATCCTCACCAAACTTCGAGAATGCTTGTTGAACACCATCCACTAAAAACTCAATGTGCAGTTATCACAACAGCTCTCAACTTCCAACACGTTTTGCCTCCCTTCCCTCTCAGACTATTTGTTTTTGTTTTTGTTTTTTAATTTGAAGGGCCTTACGGTACAAGGCCATCTCATAATCAAAAATTACTTGAGCTTGAAAAAGAAGCTCAAACCTGCTCAGATAGTATGGAGAAGCTTCACAACCAAATTTCAATCAACTCTCCCACGTTCCCTCTGCCATCAAATCCAAAACCCATCACATCCTCAAGTTTTTTTCTCGTCATCTCTTTATCCCCTTCAGGACCCGCGTTCTCATCGTCAAAGCTTCCATTCATGACGACCGTCGCCGCTGCCGCCACCATCCATAACAACAAAGGTGCTTCAATAGTGAAATAGTAAGTTTCTGTCTTCAGGTTGCACCTAAATTCCCCAAATTTTTTAAAAACTTCCAAATGTCTTTCCTTTACACAACTTTGATAAAGAAGCTATTAACTCATTGAGAATATCTATGCTTAATAGACAATTCTCCTTTTCCCCAACCTCCTTAATTAAATCCCCAAAAGCATAGACTTTCCTCTTCCTCAAACTAGTACTATCACCATGAACAAGAGCTTCCGTAACAGACTTTGTCAAATTGAACTCTGGCTTCTTCATTGCTCACTTGAAAAACATAATCAAATTCTCTCCCAAAATATATGGAGTTCTAAGTACTTTAACAACAAATTCTTAATGCAAGTTCCAATCCATACTATCAAGGCGGGACGCCAGACCATCGCCAATGGAGCTTTGTAAAAGAGACAGGAGATTTTCCAGTTTCTCCACGTGAATCTCATACACCTCCACTATTTTATCATCAGTACCAATAGTCTGCACTGGGCATCATCCAAACTCGCAGAAAACTGTTTAGAAATAACATCTCTTTCATCATTTCTATCAATATGGAGGTTACCATCTTCCCTAGTGCCTCCCTCTCCATGTGTAAGAGATCTCCATATATCTCTCGCGAAAGCAACTCTTTTTGTATCGGAGTAGAAAGTCGGTCAGCCCCCATCACTTTTCTCCGTGCCGTCGTCGCAGTTCGATCGCGTCTGGCCCGGTTGGCTTGGGGCATTGCTGCTGGATTCTTCTCTGTTCAACACTAAAGTGTCAGTGAGTCGTCAGAGGGTGTCCTCGAGCTGGTGGAATATGTCAACGAAACCCACCTCCATTCTGCTCAAACGGTCCTGCAACCTTCCCAAACTGATTTTTAGGTTTGTTATCAATTGATAGGTCCTAGTTAGAAGCCAAAGTGTGATTGATAATTATTCTACTTGAGGTGAGAATAAAACCATTGATTTGCTGATAAATTTTCCTTCATCTGCTATTCTCACGTGTTTTCACCTGCTTGTTCTGCTTCAATTGCGCATTTCTTTGATCCATTTTAGACCGCAAATCTCGGGTTCCTTCTCAGAACTTTTTGTAATTTTCTTGCTCTAACATTTAGACACTGATGAATCCACCAAATTACCCCCTTCCATGTTTTTTCCCTTACTGTTATAATTTACTGAGCATTGGAGACGCTTCAATTCCCTTGACCCCACTTCCTGTTGTTGTTTCTTTCATTTACATGACTGTAGACTAGTAGCAACCTTCTTACTGTTTCTTTCTTCCGACTCAGCAAGCAGAGGTAAAGCCTTATTCTCAAAACCATCATAAGTGACGCCAAGCATTTGGCTAATGCCTTTGATATTTTGAATAACTTACGAGGAATAAATCTGAGTGTCTTTCCACTCCGCAGGCACCTGAGAGACCGGATCAACCATTACAAATTCTTTAGAGGCCAACAAGGGGGAAGCAGCAGGTTCCTCGTTAAGAGCCAAAACAAGTGATTTTTCGGACTCAGAAGGTGGGGACAACGGCTCAAAAGGTTAAGTAGACAGAGAAAGGCAGAGCAGCTTCATTTAAAATTTCCAAGTTAAGAGAGTTTTCACAGTGAGGGATAGAATCAAGATACCTATTTTTGCCATATCATCGAGTTCTCCTTGCATAAAACGCGGCTCTAGAGGCAATCGAGTGGCATTTTATTGTGAAGTGATTCTCGATTCTGTGCATTTTTTCGTTTTAACACATTGTTTAGATCGTAATAAATTATAAAATTTTAATGTATAATATTATAGGATGTGAGAAAATCATGTTTGTTTCAACTTTCAATGGTAACAAACGGTATCTAATTGGTAAATTTAATATAAATTTTAAAACTACCGAATCGGTGCTATGTGACTGACAGATTATTATTTTTTTTCCCTTTATACATTTATATAATATACTTAATTTTATTTTTCTTTACATAATTTATTATTTATTTTATTAAATATAAAAATTTAATTTGTAATAATTATTTATTTAAATACAAAGATAATTATATGGTAAATAATTTAATTTTTTTTTTATTATATACAACTTCTTAAATAATAAGTAGTATTAAATTATTAATTTAACTAAAAATATAAATATATCATCCTATCATTCAAACAAAAATATATTATTAATATATATTAATATATAATTATCCGAATATAAAAAAAAATTTATCATTCCCATCATAAGCCTCTATTTGACTTTTGGGCTTTTTATTCTGGACCCAAGTATCTTTCGGGCTTCTTTGGTGGTTCTCACATGGTCCGCGTGAAGTAGGGCTTTCTTGGAGTGAGCTTAGGTGGAATGGACCCAAGGTTCCCCCCCGCCTAATATAGCAAAATGGTTCCCTTTTGAGTTTTGAATTTCGAAATAGCCGGGTCAGATCCTTTCTTCTCCACCCGGGGTAAAAGCATGCAGCCCGCTTTTAGAACGTCTGCGAAAGACTTCCCTCCGATTGTCTCAAACAGAACACGCACACCGCATTTGCATTGTGGACAATTAAAGAACAACGAACATGAAGGGATGTCATCCAAATCTTTGCAACCACCAGGAATGAACACTGGTCTAACTGGCTTGGCTTTTTCGAATGGATTCACCAGCGGAACTTCTATGAGTTCGAAAATGGCTTTCATCATGCGCCACCACCTTCCCGCTTGAAAACCTTCCAGGATGAAAATACGTTTGACAGATTTCCCATTTTCCTCAGACAAAACTAGGGCACGACCCCTTCTATTTCGGAATAGAACAATGTAGAAGTGGCGGACATCACCAAGTAGTTTTTTTCCCCACGTTGCTCCCCCTTTAAGCTAATATAAGTCGCTGTGTGCCTCCTCCAGCCATTTAACCTCAGTTTTGTTCAGAGAGATTGAGGTACTCGGAGCCCCTCCCATTCTCACTTATTCTCAAGCCATCGAGTTTCTTTCCTTCACATACAACATCAACGGATTTCCGGTCAAAAAAAACAAAACGTTTATTGGAAACCGATGACATTACGAATCGGAGAGACATTGGCCGACCCCTGGCTATTTGATTGTGGGCGAGACAGAGGAGAAAAAGAAACAGAGTAGAAAGGATGGTAGTGAAGAGAGAGAGAGAGAGAGAGAGAGAGAGAGAGAGTTTTTATAACAAAAATTTCTGAAGAACATCAAGAAAACTAATCGATGATGTTCTTGATGGAGAGCCGAAAGAGCTAAAAAAGAGAGAGTAACAAATCCGACGAAAGAGATGGAGAGTCTCAATTACTGGGTTGGTTACTCTTGCACCCATTCATTTTACTGAAAGAGAATTAAATGATAGGCAAATATTTACCTTTTTATGATAGTGTGTGTGTGTATATATATATATATATATAAAATAGGCAGCCAGATCGGGTACTAGCATATTGTTAGAGGTCATGTCTTGTACCTCATATCATATTATATATTATTTTTCAAAGCTAAAAGAGAAACTGAGAGACGATGGATAGTTGTTTTTGGCTTGTTAGTACCTTAGAAAGTGGTTGGTTACAGATTATTATATTATAAGAGGCTGTTGGAAATGAATTTTCAGGTTCTTTAAGTTGTAACGTTTTATTATTTTTGGGACAAAACTGTCACTGACATGTGTTTTATTTATTTGTCTGGCGTCTCACGTGCTCAGAAAAAAATTAATTAAATGATTTTCGTAAACGGAAAGATTAATTAATACAAAATTCATGCTGCACCCTGCTATATCAAAGTTTTAGATATTATACTAATTATGTTTTCTGTACAAAAATGGTTGCAATGCAGATTTCTATAAGGAGCAACAGAGTAGGTCTATCCACCATCCATGATGAAATTCAAAAGACCGTTCTACTCATGATTTAATTATATGATTATAAATTGTATTAAATGGTACATAATTACACCCAAAAAGCAAACAATGATTTATTATATTATTTTGCTGGTTACAATTAGGAGAGGTTAGAGGGCATCCACCATCCAACTTGTGGTGTTCAATTATGTCCTCAACCCACCTTAAATCTCGATCAACCCATCACTTTTAACACCTTCAAGATTATATCATAATCATCTTCTCCAGCTGATACATAATTCAACGCCATGACAACCTACGGTACCATTCCAACGGAGTCGCCTGCTCCAGGATCGAATCTAAGCTTCCTGATACGCGCAAAAGATCAGATCCAGTCAGGTCTGGGCGGACGAAGGCCATGGCTGGAGATGATCCAGTTCGATGCTTTCACCTTCCCCACCTCCCTCAACGACGTCCTTACTAGAATCAGAGCCAATGTGGGTTTTCTCCGGGTCAACTACGTCATCATCATACTCCTCACGCTTTTCCTCAGCTTGCTCTGGTATCCCGTCTCCTTGATCATCTTCATTGTGATGATGGGTGCGTGGGTATTCCTGTTTTTTCTACGAGAGGGTCCTTTGAGTGTGATGGGGATGGTGATCGATGACGGCGTTGTTATGGTGGTCCTGTTGGTGGCTACGGTGTCCGTCTTGCTGTTGACGGATGTGAGCAGTAGTATAATGATTGGGGTGTCGATTGGGGCTGCCATGGATCTGGTTCATGCAGGATTGAGAAGTCCGGAGGATTTGTTCTTTGTTGATGATGATGAAGAAAGGGTTAGTAGATCCAACGTTATTGTGGGTAGGGATGCTTCAAATATGCGTTTGAAAAATCCTGCTTCTTCTTCTTTTTCTTCTTAGTAATTTCTTGTTTAATTTCAATGGAATATACAGACCCATCATGAAAATATGCATCCAAGATCGTGTGGTTGTAATTAAATTAACAAAGTGGATTGATGATTATTCTTGCTAGGATGGATGCACCCAAAAACTCATTATACATGTATACAACTAATTATAAGAACATGAAGATTACTGTGTTTGAGGCATGTAAGACATGCAACTCAAGCCTCCATGTAATTCTTTATTTTATTTTTTAAAAAAAGAATTTTATAAAGGATAAGAGAGTCTTTTCAAATTTATTTATTAACATTTCTACTGGAATATCTACCACAACTTAATTAAAAATATTATAATTTCTTTTTCAATAAAATATCGTATATTTTATTAATTAAATCGCACATGTGCATTAATTATAATAAATAAACTTCTAACAACAACATAAGAGATGTATAATTGGATTAGACCCATGTAGCAAATAAAAGGAAAACCATCAACCAGAAAAAGGAGGAGTCAGATTATGGCTTTTTAATTCAGCATAAAAAAAAAAAGAGGGAACAAACTTTGTCCTTTAAATACATATGAAAACTCCTAAAATGAATCGTTGAGTATTTTCATTTAGCCATGGTTATTAGTCATTAGAATATCTGGAAAACAAAAAGGAAAAAGAAAAACCTTTGTACTTCCCATATTAAGTTATGTGTAGGGAATTCAAAAACATTTTAATCATAAATCAATACGAATAGTTTTATTTGTATATACGGGAATAATGGATTTGATTTAATATGTAACTGATGCGAAAGGGTAGACTCATATTTTCTAGATCAATGAGGTAAACTTTAAATATAAGATCTATACAATTGTCAAAAGTTTATCTAATAAATAAGTTAAGATTCTTTGTTCAGTTCATGAATATTTAATGAATGTGTCTTAATTTTTATCTTTTATCGAAAAATTGAATTGAAAAATTTCTTTCAATTATTGATCATTGAATCGAAAATCTTTAGTTATAATAAAAGATAATTTAAATTGTTAAAATTGATAAATCACGTTATAACACCCAAAAAATCAAACGGTAAGCCTCAGGGCATTTTTGGAGAGAATGAAGGAAATAAATCTTAAATAATTACAAAAGTAGGGGAGATTACTTAAAAACAAAAGAAGAACTGAATTGCAAAGATTTTAAAAGAAGAGAGAGGTAGATTGGAGAAAAAAAAAAGAGCTAGATTGTAAAGATTTTAAAAAGAAAGGGGAAATTTTAGAAATTTAAAAGAAACCAAGGAGTAGAAAAGAAATAGAAAGCAACTGACCAGATTGAATAGTTAAAGATTAAATGAGAGAGAGGTAGGAACGGAATGGAAGGTTATGATCATTTCAAATTAAATGGACAGTTGAGATCGTGCCCTACGTAAAAAAGAAATGTACGATCAAGATCGTGTGGGAGAAGATCTAATGGCCAAGATTAACTAGTATGAGAAAGAACATATATATCCTTAATGAAACTTTAAATCAGATGACCACAATTGCAAAAAAAGAAAGATTAGACAGTCAGGATTTAGTATTGAATGTCAAAAGATGAAAATGCACTGATTTGATCCAACAATCCAGATTATAGAAATGAGATCAAATGGCAACCGGACAGAGTATTTAAGATTATATCTTATAACCTTAAATAAGATCTTCCGTTATGGATTATCTTTAAGGTTTCTATTTGGAAGAATAGATTGGGATTGAAATGTTAATAATTGATTGACCATTTTACTTGTTGTTGTGAGTTTAATTTCGGACATATCTTCCGTTGTACGTTTTATTGAAAACTTTTATTATAAGAAATTAGTAAAAAATTCTTCACTTTAGTATTTTGGTAATTTATGTTAAGGAGTATATAACTAGATGATATATCATTCTTAATATGAATTAATTATTTGAGTTCCACTCAAGTCTTATTGGAACTCATGTCTTATTTCTTATCCTTGTCTAAAAAATGATAACAAAGACATACTTGAAGGTGTTATGAGAATGTTACAAATTAAAAGGAACATGAGATACACTAAGAAGAAAAGAAATTTTAAAGCAAAAAAATAAAGCAATTAACTTATGTGTAATTTAGTGATAAATTAGTCAGAATTCGCCATAGAGGTAAGACACAGTAAAAATTGAGATTGTTTTTTATTCTTTTTATGATTTGTTTCTTTACATTGATTAAAAACTATATAAAGATGGATAATATAACAAAGAATATAAGAAACTTTTTGAAAATTATTTTTTCCACTAAAATGAATTAAATACGCATTAACATTTGTACATCTATATAAATTTAGAATTAATACATATGATTATTACTAATATACCAAAAAAAGAAATATTAACATTTTAGATTTTGTATATTAATTGTATAATGTCTACCTTTTCATTTGACTGTACTTACCTACTTTATTTAATAGTTAATATTTTATTTTATTTAAAACATATTTTTAATTTAATCTTTTACAATTTAATATTTTTTAAATTAAGACTTTATAATTTATTTTTAGACAACTCACTACTTTATGCTTCAAATCGTTAGGCAAACTAGTCAACTCAATCATCACTAGAAATAAGCATACACATGGTCTTTCTTTCACCACATAAGTGGATATTTTAAAAATATAAAATATTACAGATATTAATTTATCTATTAAACTTATATTTATCATTAAATAAAATTTAATAGATTAAAAGTATAAACAATTATTTTATTGAATCTCTAGGTCTTCTTTATAGAAAACGTCACATGTTATTATCAAAGAATAACAAAATTATAAAACTAGTCTTATAAGAAAACCAGTTTGAAGAAGTAAATCGAACCAATATTTGATTTTAACTTAAACCA